TTGCCATGGACCCTTCCCACATTGAAGCTATCACCCGACAGTTGGCACAATTACAAAATCAATTAACGGCTGTCCAAACTGAGTTGGCTGCTACTCGTGAGGAGAATAGGGCCCTAACCGCTAGGGTAAACACCCTTGACCTAACCCAATCCTCAACTGAGGCTGAAAATTCTAACTCTTCCATTAATAGACCGCATCGTTGGCCACAAGGTGGTCGACACCATGCTAGACATGATCGTAGGGAAGGAAATCAAGCTCATGGGCGCGAGCGGGAATATCACCGTCATGGTACACTATCTCCCCCTCGCCACGAGGAGCGCCTCTTTCGAAATATTAAGTTAGATGCCCCTACATTTGATGGTTGTCTAGATCCTACTGTATTCAATCAATGGGTTAGAGATATGGATCGCTTCTTTGCTTAGTATGGGGTCCCTGAAGATCGGAGGGTGCAATTTGTCGGTTTGAAATTAACTGGCACAGCTCAACTATTTTAGGAAAGTGTTGAGGACCTCCTAGAGAGGCGCCATGCTCCTCCTGTTGGGAACTGGGATGAAATGAAGCTTCGTCTTGAAGAAAAATATTTACCTCAATCTTACAGGGGCAACTTGCTGGATCAATGGAACGCACTTACACAAGGCAGTCGACCTGTGACCGAATATGTTGCTCAGTTTGACGAGTTTCGAATGAGATGTCAAGTCGTTGAGGACGAAGTCATGACTTTGAGTAGGTTTAGGCACGGCCTACGGGATGATCTTAGACGTGAGCTTGTTCTTCGAGGTGTCACCACTCTTGACCACGCCTACTCTTTCGTTCGGGATTACGAGTTAGTGACTAGGACACCGTACAGAAGTCATAGTAACTCCCGCACTGCAACCTCTTCTGCATCCACGCCATCCCCTAAGTCTATTCTAGGACCTCCTCCTTCTAATACTATCCCTACGTTGGATAGTAAAGGTAGAGGTTCTGAGGTTTCAAGAACGTCCTCTCATTTGCAATGCTTCAACTGTAAGGGTTTTGGTCACATTGCTTCTAAGTATCCTAGCCGAGCCCTAGTATTGGAAGAGCGTGAAGGTATAGTTGACGAGCCACTAGAGGATCAGGTGTATGAGCCTAAGTTAGAAGAGTTTGATGACTTGGAGGATAGTGAAGATACCTTCTTGGGTTGTATCCAAGCTAGTCTCCTTATCCCACATACACCTAGAGTCGGTGTCGTCCGTTGTACTCTTACCCAGCCGAGGGATGCCGATGATTGGCGTCGTCATGCCATCTTCCACACTTACATCAAGATTAATAATAAGGGTTGTAAAGTCATCGTGGATAGTGGCAGCTGCGTTAATGCGGTTTCGATGGCTACTGTATCCCGTCTAGGGTTGAAGTCTGTTCCTCACCCTCAGCCATACAGCGTCTCTTAGGTTGATACCTCCTCCATAGCTGTCAAGGAGCGTTGTTTAGTCCCTATCCAGTTTTTCAAGTATAAGGACCATATATGGTGTGACGTCATTTCAATGGATGTTGGACACATCATCTTGGGACGACCTTGGTCATTTGACCTAGATGTAACCATCTATGGTCAATCCAATTCCTGCTTCTTCGTGTTTAATGGAAAGAAAATTCACCTTAACCCACTGCCTCCGAAGCCTGTTGGCCCACTGGAAACGAAGAAAAGTGTGGAACGAAAGGGATTGCATATCATTAGTCCTACGGAGTTTGAGCGTACACTTGTTGGTGACTCAGTTGTCTTTGCTTTGGTGGTCATGGAGGTCCCATCACACTCCGCGATAGAGAGCCCTGTTGAAGTCCTATCGGTCCTCCAAAAGTTTCGAGATGTCTTTCCAGAGGACCTCCCTGATCATCTATGTAACGCCCTAAATTTTTTTTTATAAAATAGGTATGGGCCGTTGCCAAAAACTTACTTTTATTTATTTTAAATACCAAATGGTAAGAATAAAATTCTTAAATAAACAAGATACTTGAACATTCATAAATTAAATTTAAATCATGGAAATATACGCAATCAACAAACAAATCAAATAACATGTTTTTATACACAACCAACTAGTAAATTTAAAGTCTGTTGAAGAGAGACACAAAATAGCCTAACGAAATTGTTTTTGAATGATTTCTTGAAAAACAATTTCTTTACTTGGCAACCCACGCATCGCTCAGCCACCTCCACGTTGACCCTACTGATCTGAAATGTTGAAATTAAAGGAGTAAGTAATTACACTTAGTAGGATACGTGCGTCCGAACAATATGATAACTTTTAAAACGTAAATTCATAACATTTCATACCATCATTTCATCAAGAACAATCGGTGATCAGTCGAAAGCTCTAGCACATTTGAGAAGGCCCGAAGGCGATCTCACATTTCATTTCATTTCATTGGGACCCGCAGGTCAATTAGCATTTCATGAAATAAATCACGCATAAAAATCATAATATTGAAAGGACATACACTTGCACATAAAAGTATCCTACCTCTTTTGACAATAAAATTATTGGAAGTAGGAAACTCACATTCCCAAAAACTTTCGCTGTTGCCGAGTCTATATGCCGAGAAAATTATCGAAAATATATTTTATGATAAATCATGAGTTGATTGATGATTGCAAAGCAAAAATCAAGATTTTGGATACTGTGAGGGTGTGAACGTGTAGCTGATCAAAGTGGGTGTAATCCAATGCAAAATTAAATATGCATAGAAAAACATTATTTTAAACAGATACGTATCATAAGTATAATTGTGCTAATCACTTAGCAAGGCCCCTTTTTATACTATTAAATCATTTAAAAGGCAGTGGTCAATCTAGGTAAACGGTCTTCATTTTCGACCTAATGATGATAGATAATTAGGCACAATTTATGCTAATTAATTTTTAACATCCAAATTTACCTCATTTACTTAATTAACACTTTAAATTAGTATTTACCAATTACAAGATTATAATGTTCTCCACATGCTATTTTTACATTAAATGACACAAAATACAGGTATTGAGAAGCGACAATATTTTAACATGATTTTTAAGTTGAATCCTAAAGCGAGACGAATTGTGAGCACGTAATAACTTAATTACTATAATAAAGTTATAAACATATCGTAATTAAATTAATAGGCACGTCGATCGTTCTTCCAAGATACGTTTAACTGTAAAAATATAATTAGTCACGAGAAAATAATTATATCAAATAAATAACGGATGCAACCTAGCCAACAGAATCACGTCAATTAGTTCCATTAATCAGTCCAATTACAAAACTCCTTGTTTGGATATCAATCAAATTAAATTAATTAGAATCTATTTAATATAAGAATAATCAAGTTTGCCTCAATTTACGTAAAATGACAGGTTATCATATAATAACATAACATCATATAAAATGAAATAAATAATTATATAATGTAATATAAGCTTAATTGGACTATATACCCCAAATAATTAACTTTGATGGGGATGTAGAATAATTTGTCAGAGGCCCAAATCGCGTCTTACCATTAGTCTAGCAATTTGTGAGAAATTTACTTAATATGAAAGAAGATATTTAAGGGCATTGTTAATTACAAACTACCCAGTTGTAAATGTAAAAATATTACAAGTCACATGCATATGCAAATTAAATTGATATTTCCAGGTAATGATCCCCAAGGTTTCTATAATTATTGATTAACTGTAATATTTATTATAGGAGGGTTGAATGAAATTCTAGCACTAAGGCAAGTTTTGCTCCCTTAAAATACGTGTGCATGATCTATCAAATGAGGTGGACGTCAAGATAATTAAATCCCCCAAACCTTATACTTGAACTACGACACGTAATCCCCTCCCCAAAGCCAAGACAATAATGATTAATCATAAATAAAATAAAATTTTCGGAGCATTACAATCTACCTCCACTAAGGGATATTCAACATGCCATAGACTTCGTTCTGGGGGCATCCCTCCCAAATTTGCCTCATTATAGGATGAATCCTACCGAGCACCCTGAACTTCAAAGGCAAGTGGATGATCTCCTTCACAAGGGATTCATTCGTGAGAGTTTAAGCCCGTGTGCGGTCCCCGCCCTATTGACGCCCAAAAAGGATGGCTCTTAGCGAATGTGTGTGGATAGTCGAGTGATCAATAGGATCACGGTGAAGTATCGTTTTCCAATTCCTAGACTTGACGATATGTTAGATATGATGGTTGGTGCCACAATCTTTTCGAAGATTGATCTGAAGAGTGGATACCATCAAATTCGAATTCGCCCAGGTGATGAGTGGAAGACTGCGTTTAAGACGAAAGATGGTCTTTATGAATGGCAGGTCATGCCTTTTGGGCTGAGCAATGCGCCAAGTACCTTTATGCGAGTAATGACACAAACTCTTTGACCTTTCATGGGCAAGTTTCTTGTTGTCTACTTTGATGATATCCTCATCTATAGTAAGACTAAGGAGCAACACCTTGACCACATCACTCAAGTTTACTCTACCCTTCGTGCAACTAATCTATATGTGATGTGAATGTCAAGAAGTGCTCTTTCTTCACCGACACAGTCATTTTTCTGGGGTTCATTGTCTCTTCGACAGGGGTATCCGCTGACCCTGCTAAGGTTCAGGCAATTATTGACTGGCCTGAGCCCAAAGTTATTCATGACGTCAGGAGCTTTCATGGCTTAGCTACATTCTACCGTCGCTTTATTAAAGGGTTTACCACTATTATGGCGCCTATTACGGAGTGCATGAAGAAAGGGGAGTTTCATTGATATCTTCCTCGATTTACAAAGAGGACAATCAAGCGCCACAGATGGCTTCCCACTTGAGGAGGGTTATCTCTTTAGAGCCAATAAATTATGCATCCCTCGAACTTCAGTGCGAGATTTCATCGTGTGAAAAATTCATGTGGGAGGGTTAGCCGGTCATTTTGGACGTGATAAGACCATAGAGAAAGTTGAACGTCAATTCTATTGGCCTAGCTTGAAGAAAGATGTGGCTAAGATTGTTAGTACTTGTAACACTTGTCAATTGAGTAAGTAGAAGAAACAGAACACAGGTCTATACATCCCTCTCCCTGTCCCTAATTGTCCTTGGCAAGATATTAGTATGAATTTTGTGTTAGGACTTCCACGCACCCCAAAGAAGTATGACTCCATTTTTGTGGTTGTTGATCGCTTCTCAAAGATGACTCATTTTATCCCCTATAGCAAGACGTCGGATGCGTCCAAGGTTGCCCTGTTATTCTTTAATAAAATTGTCAAATTGTATGGGCTTCCCAAGACCATCGTGTCTGATAGGGACGTTCGTTTCACTAGCCATTTTTGGAGAACTTTATGGCACAAGATGGGTACCAAATTGAAATTTTCTATGGCTTACCACCCTCAGACTGACGGTCAAACTGAAGTAGTTAATCGAAGTCTTGGCAACCTATTACGTTGTCTAGTCCAGGAAAACCTTCGAAATTGGGATTTGATCCTTCCTGTAGCCCAAATTGCGTACAATAGCTCTATAAATCGTTCACTGGGTATGAGTCCATTTAAAGCCGTTCATGGGTACAAGCCTAGAAAACCGTTAGATCTCATCCCTATGTCCCCACAGGCTAGAGTGTCAGTATCAGCCGAAACATTTGCACAACATCTTCGTGACTTGCATATTGAGATCAATAAACAACTTGAAGCTAGTAATGCAAAATATAAACTCCAAGCTGATTTACACAAACGACATATTGTGTTTAACATTGGGGATTACGTTATGGTTCGCATTAGGCCAGAGCGGCGTCTACATGGACCCGCCTCTAAATTGCAAGCTCGTAGTGCTGGTCTTTCTAAAATTTTAAAGCAGATTGGTCCAAATGCGTATATTGTTGACATTCCACCACACCTTGGTTACCACTCTACTTTCAATGTTGAGGACCTTGTAGCTTATAAAGGTCATTTCATTCCCTCAAACGATCCTCTGTCATCTCCTATTGTGGACCTTGATCCTGATCCTTTGACCCCTTCTAACCCACTACCACCTCTCACAGCACACAAAGAAAAAATTGATGCTATTTTAGATGAAGAAACAGTGTTCAGTAATGATGAAGAGGTTCAGCGCTTCCTTGTTCGTTGGGTTGGTCGACCAGATTGTGACTGTGCATGGATCTCCAGGGAGACTCCAGCAATTGGACCCAGATTTGTTAGAGTTTTATCGGAGTCAGTAGGATCTTCATTGGCTCAGATCGCCTCCCGTCCACCCGAGAGGAGTTGGTGAGGACACCAGGTTCAGACCGCCACTGACGTATTTCTACAAACGCCGAAAGAAGCTTGCCCAGCCACTCAACCTATGGTTGGGAGATTGACGGATGCCTATGGTGATATAGCCACTCGACAGGGTCGAGTTTTCTCTCCCACCCAGAGAGAATTGATGAGGACATCCCAATCCAGTTTTAATTATTTTAGTTGGACTTAGGTTATTTTAATTTTATGGACTTGTGTATTGGGCTTGACCCTAGGTTTGCAGTAATATTTTCAGTATTTAAACCTATTTTACATTATTATTTTTCAGTTGATGAATTTGATTAAATAATGAAGTGGCTGTAGCCGTTTTTCCTCCTTTCTTCCCTCTCTCCCTGTTCTTCTTCTTCTCCCCCTCCCTCACCTCTTCTTGTTATCTTATTTGAATTACTCACCCTGCATCAAATTTAACTTGCTATCTGTGAGCTCATTAACAAAGAATTCATCTCTCCATATGAAGTTTCTTATGGATTGTTGTGTTATCTAGGAAGTGTCAACTTTGAAGACGATTGGCAAGGCTAACAAAGTCGCTGATCTATATGTGATTGACACTACCGATCTTTCCAATTCTAGTAATTTAGTTCCTGCTAATATCACTTGTAACTCTTCCATTTCAGTTGCAAATAAAGTTTCATCTCAGATTTGGCACAATAGACTAGGACATTTGTCAATCAAACGCATGGAAAAATTGAAAGACAGATTATAATTAGATTGTAATGTTCATAATAACGTTCATTGTTCCATTTGCCCCTTGGCTAAACAAAGACGCCTTTCATTTGTATCCAACAACAATCTTTCTAAGAATCCCTTTGATTTAGTTCATTGTGACACGTGGGGTCCGTACCATACACCAACACATGCTGGTTATCAATACTTTCTCACTTCGGTATATGATTGTACTAGGTTCACTTGGACATTCCTCATGAAACAGAAATCTGATGTTGCCGTAATAATTCCCAAATTTTTCTCTCTCATTGAAACACAATTTGGCAAAGTCATCAATGCATTTCGTTCTAATAATGCATCTGAACTACAATTCACAGAATTTTTCAATTCCAAAGGGGTATTACATCAATTTTCATGTGTTGAGCGTCCTGAACAAAATTTCGCGGTGGAAAGGAAGCACCAACACTTCCTAAATGTAGCCCGAGCCCTTTCTTTCAGTCACATGTTTCTAATAAAATTCTGGAAAGAGTGTGTCCTCACTGCCACATACTTAATCAATCGAACTCCTTCACCATTGTTACATCACCCTTATCAAATCTTTTATGGTACCTCGTTGATTACAATCGTCTCAAGGTATTTGGATGCCTATGCTATGCATCTACTTTACCATCCAACCAAACAAAGTTTCATCCTCGACCTCTGGCATGTATATTTGTTGGATATATGCCAGGCATCAAGGGGTACAAATTATATGATATAAAGTCCAAAAATTTCTGTCTCTCTTGATGTGATTTTCCATGAGACACTATTTCCCTTCCAGTCCATCTCTCATCCTACTGAGATTATAGATCTTTTTCCTGACATGGTATTGCCTCTACCTGCATCTGACATTCCCGCACGTAATGTGACTGAATCTATTCCTACTTTATAGCCTGATGAGGTCTCCAATGTACATACTCCTGCCACATCCAATAATCCAGCCGTTAGAAGGCCTTCAAGGACCATCAAACCTCCCTCATACTTTTGAAGGGTCCGTGAGGAAGTGAACAAGAGGATTTGGCAATGAACGAGGGGACTTTTGAAGGAAAGATCGTAATTATGAATTGGAATGGTCGAGGAGTTTTGAAGGTGGCCATGGGAGAAATAATAGACATGGGAACTTACAGGGATTTGGACTAGAGTTATAATTGGTGTAAAATGATTTTGACAACATGCCATTGGACAGTTTTAAAAATAATTCATCTTTTCCATCAGTACCGTTTTATACAACTACAACATTATTGACAATATTGTACAAAATGATTGTACAAATAGATTTATCCTTTAGACTAAGGGACCAGAAATGGCTTGCTAGACGACGGGGTCTATTTCGATGGAAATGGTCGACATTGGTGGTGACGACGAATGTGATAGTGGAGTTTGTAATATGAATATATGGTTAGGCGGGGTAGGATGGTGATGTAGCGCAAGGGTCAAGAACAAAGATAAACAGCTTAACAAAATTCCATTGATTCATTGAATGAATACTAGAAAGAGATTGCATTTTGGAACATTTCCAAAGTTTTATATAATTTAATCAAAAACAATCCAATAAAGTAATGATCTATAAAATGTGTACAAAGTCGGAGAAAAATAAAACCCTAAAAGCTAACGAAGGACGTAAATATACTTACTTATTAAAAGATATAAGGAATAAATAAAATATTGGATTTGTGGCTCAATCATTCTCCTCAGCATAGAGAACATTCCTCCTTGAATCTTGTGTTGTATCTTTATCCGATGCCTTGTAGTGGTGGTAATTCACTTGGTAAATCAATAAAGAAAACAACTTTCTGCAAGAGTACGAATATATTGGTTGCTTTTGGTGAAAAAATATTAATATATTGGATTGTTCTTTCAATTCTTTATCTTTTCTCGATATTCATTACAAATTGAGTTAGTCGATCCTGTATTTTGTAATTATGTTGCATCAGTTTGGTATCAAAGCCGATTGACACAATCATGACGAAGACCAAAGCTCCCGCTCGTGATGTTGATGAGATCAAGGTTGAGAGAAAAATGAAAATAAAGAGCAAGACTAAGCAAGGTTGAACACGACGCTATAAAATAAATTTTCTGACTGCCTATTTATATTGTTAAACATATTGAAATAGTCCTCATTATATGTATCGAATTACA